TTGTGTTATCTTCATCGCAAGGTACGCAATAGAAATAATATGTTACTTCAACATATCTATACGTTATGTAGGAGCCAAAGTATCAGAAGTTGAAATACTTGTTCTAGATTTATTAGATATTAATTCGACAGAATGGAACAGCAATCTGTACTTATAATTCGAATAAGAACACCAGTCTCGACCAGATATCGGTCAGAAAGCAGGAAACACCGAGCAGGGTGGCATACGAAAATATAGAATATCTCACAGTCATATTTTCGTCGCGTAAAAAGGGAAGCTATGCTTTCAGGTGCAAGGATATCCGGTGCGTCGTAAGAAGAGATTCCGTCGACGACAGGAGGCTGGAAGAGAAGCTCCCGGAGAGTTTCTATAAAAGGCGGCAGAGTTCGATGAAAACTGTTTCGAACATCCACGAAAATCGATTTCGCGCGATGCGTCAGTTAACCCTTTGCAGCCCTTTTGTTCTGAGGATCTATACAGTGAGATGTTCGATTCATAGAGAAAATTTTATTTCGACGAAGCTCGGTACACAGAGGTATATAGCGGGATATCTGACAGAACTATCGCAGAAATATTAAACGAAAAGGAATATTTTTGGAAAGAGACCGAAAGATATTACAACACCTGTCCATTGAACTAGGACCACCTTTAATTTTCGGCATTTTACAATCTTTTTGGTACAATCAATTGTTCTGCTCGCAATTTAATGATAAATTTGGTCATCTACAACATCTTGTTTTCCGTGTTTTACATGAATCTTTTGCTTTATCTTTTCCATAATAATAATATAATAAAATAATATAATAATAATACAGGATCAATAATAAATTTTTAAAGGTCCGGATGGAGCATTCTATCAATTATCTATGTCCTGCATTATTCGTTTACTCGATTTTATTTTGCTCGCACCATAAATATTCAGTAATAACAAATGATAAAATATGATGTACAGTTATTAACAAAGTTGATTTGCAATTAGACTTTACTTGGATTCTTTCATTTAACTGGATTCGTGTAGAGCTTGAATTGAAAATTCCAAGTAATCCCAGTTCAATGGTCAGAGACAGTGCGAAAGGGATAGGAATAATTTTCTACAAAGGAAATAGTGAAAGCTTCTCACAAAAGAAAAACTGAGCAGTATTGAAATATCAAAGATAAAAAGATGTTAAGAAACAACGAGTGATATCGGACATCAAAGGGTTAAACACCGGTTAAACTCGATTCATATTTTTTGGCAATACTGCATTCACACCCTGTGTATATGTATAAGCATCGATTTGCGCATGGCTACGTGTACTCATTTTACTATTTCGAGCGTTTTTCACGCGCTTCACCACTTACAGGTTACATCTCCGCGTTTCCCAAGGACGCGTTGAAACTTACGTGTTAGTACACCGACGTTGCTTCGAGTCGTTTTTTTTTCTTTTTCATTTTCAAACAGAACAACGCGGACTATCTCGTTCGCTTTCATACCGTTTCACCACGCACACCCAAACACGTATTTACTTGCACGCTCTCTTCCATTGTTGTGTTAATAAAATCTATAATTTAATAAACAATTTACACGCATAACATAATCGATAAATATCGTGTATATATATATATATTTTTTTTTTTCTTCTTCTATACAACAATAAGTTCATTAATCGCTAGATAGGATCGTTCGTATTGATACTTTCGTCTTTGCGCGTTAATTCCAACACTTTCTCGTTCCTACGCTGCGCACGTAAGTGGACTATGGCAACGTTTAAACGAAAGCAAATTTCATTTTTTGTTTTAAATTTTTTTGCTCGACCCTCGAAATACGTTGCGACGCCTTCTCATACACAAGTACCATCTATTTTTGAATAATCATTTTTTTTTTTTTTTTTTTTTTTTTTGAAACGCAGCCTAAAGAAGGATCATGCGCTTGAATGCTATCGCAATACGTGGTAAATCTTTTCATATACAATGAATATAATACACAACTAACAATATACTATAGCAACGAGGAAGAAGTTTGATTTCACGAGTCTATGTAAGAATCTGCACTATCTCACATAGTCTCTTTCTCTCTGTTTCTCTTTCTCTTTCTCCTCTTTTTTTTTTTGGAAACTTGCAATCGTATTTCAAGGGTTCGATGCTCGCCAAGTTTCGTCGCCTGTGCTCGACATCGCGCTAGCGCCGGAAAAATGCTGGAATTAAAGCCGAGCGTCGCTCCAACGAAGAGTAATAACGCCATGTTTCACGTCCGTCGCCTCTCGGGCATGTTTTCGATCGGCACAACCATTCGATACATTTTTTCCAACGCACCTACAGTGCCTCTGCCACTTGCCCCCTTTCCTTCTTTTCTTCTTCGTCTCTTTCTTCTTCCCTGCTCGACGCGATCAGTCCTGGCTTTTCCCGACGCGACGTCTCTACAATGCCGATCAACGCCACAACCCTCCCGAACTTCTATTCAAAGTCTACTTGCTGATCTTCGATCGTGGACGCACGCAGTTTCTACTAACAGGATCGTCGTGCGTGGCATCGACCAGGTTCGATCACCGTCGACGTAACATTGGATATGCTTATTGATTCACCTAACGTTTCACCGACGCTTGTTGAGATGCCGAGGAGATCCGATCTTCCGAATGCGAACCTGACTGTCCGATCGTATCGACGACCAGTATCACCACGTCTGAACTAGTTCGTGACGTTCGAACGAATCGAAACGAGAATCGCTCCGAAAAATTCGCGTTCCGAGCACAATGTCCTTGCTTGTCCGTCGCGTGTTTTACCGAGGAACACACCTCGTTCTATCGTTCATTCAACGTTCATAGTCCAAAACTATAATAGCTAATAGTTCTCCTAGCACCAACGAAGGACCTAAGAAAAGGCTCCACACGTTCTTCTCGTGTTAAGTTCTCAGTAGCTCATGTGTGTACGTAAACCGCACGAGAGTTTCGAAAGCACATGCGTGCAACTCAAGCGGACGCATGGATCTCCAACACCGGCCATCTCTACACGTACCACTCTTTGATGTCTATCAGTTCTCGTTTCTTGTTGGTTTTGCTGCCGTTGGCCCCGTTTTTCAGGGGCCCGTTGAACGGCTGGCCGGAACCGGCGGCGCCGAGCAACGCCGCGTTTGGATCCTGGCAGAAGGTCTTCGTCTCGTCGACCTTGTAGCTAGTCTCTGGACGATTCTTGAACTTGAGGATGATCAGGATGATCAGCACGATGGCGATCAACGCCGCGGCTATGATGCCGATTATCAGAGCGGCGTTCTCCGCCGCCTCGGACGTTATCCTCTTGTTGTTGTTGTTCTTTGGCGGCGTTGGTATTGGCGGGTACATCGGGGGTGGAGGTGGTGGTGGTGGGTCCGTCATCTCTGTGGTGGTCGTTTGGGTCGTCACGGTTGTCGATCTCTGCGTCACAACGCTACTGCAATGATTTAAAACGAGTCGTATTCGTCAGTGTTTCTTAACTAAAAAAATGTTTAGGGCAATGTGTTTCGATTTTCAATCGAAGGTCTTAGTCACTGCAACGAAACGTTTTATTGCAGATGTAGGTATCTGATTGAATGTTTAAAATAAAAAAAAAAACTGTGAATATTTTCAATCGGGGGTTTAGTCATTGCAGTTTGTTTGCAGCCGAATGTTGAAAGCGAGAATTGAATATTTTGAGCGAATGGAAAGTTTTACTTTCCATTGAAGTTTCAATCATTGTACGCGTTCGGAGCTGAATGTTTTAGAAACGGAGTCATTGTGAGTTTTTTTCAATTGAAGGTTTGATCTCTATGTGCGTTTGCAACCGAAGGTTTAGAATGAATATTTTTAACTGAATGTTTCAAATGGAGTTATTGCTCATATTTGCAAGTGAACGTTTGACGTAACTACGTAATATGTAATTGATAAATGTTTATTACAATAATATTTTGTTATTCAAGCAGTTAATTAAATTATAGTTACTAAGAAATTCATAATATTCGGGTAAAAATGTAATTTTATTTGCGCAGTGTTGTTGAAAGAAGAACAGAATTATCTAATATAAAAATACTTTAAGTTTTAAATTTTACAAATGCTTTATATATTTTTAAAAATTCCAGATGATTAGAAGTTAACAGTTAAATTAAAAAAAAGTTTTAAATCTATTCTACGTACCCTGCTTCTCATAACTATAATAAAATCACCTTAAAATTTTCTATTTCTATACTTAAATAAAAATTGAAAATTTTAGAACGATTTTATAGTTATAGAATATCAGTGTATTTTGGACTAAATGCTTTCCAAATGGAATCATTGTGAATATTTCCAATTGATTTGAGACTTTCACAGTTTGGTAATTGAGTTCACTGGAAAAATGGTGCAAGTGCACTTTGTACAAAAATAGAAAAAGAATATGCAGACAATTTTGTCACATGTAACAAATGTGTTTTAATTTTTTTTTTCAAATTAAAGATTTTATCAGTTGCGAGAAATATGTTGAAAATCTGAAGAGAACGAAAAATTGTACAATGTTATTGTAATATTTAAGATATCGAATATTTCAGTATTAATTTCAGTATTAATATGTTAACATATTATTTAAAATCAATAGCTGTGAGAGAATTTATTTCTCCGAATACACCTAGGTATATCTGAAAATTTATGACCATATTTGCAAATTATCTGTTAACTTTTATTTATTTTTACCTACAAAGATGACAAAGACATGTCTGACAAGCTGTGATGGAGTAATAATGTTAAAACAGAAATTACTGACATGTTCGTTTCTGAGCATTAAAATCGAAATTAATTTCGCTGAGTAATACCTACAGTCAGCAATCAAATTAACTGACAGTTTTAGATATCAGATAAATCAATTAAAACTGTAAATTGCCGAATTATATTTCACATCGATTTATATAATGTTGTTAATAATGCTGAATGTTAATAAAAAAATACTTTCACGAAATTAATAAATCTAGATTTTAAATGGGAAGCAATTATTGAAAGACATTATTGTCAAATATCATTCGCCAAATATTTTATAATTAATTTTATAATTATTAATATTGAAATAATCGAAATTATCTTTCTGCATGATTACTTTATAAAGACATTATAGGTATCTACTGTCTTTCTTTAAAGTCAGTTCTTTTGAGATCAAATATATATTTATCAGATTATTAAGCCATGTTATGCATCATTTAACAATATTTATGCAACATTTAAAATTGAAAGAGAATTCTTTTCCTCGCGTCGAAATAACTTTTAATTTTTACAATTTTTCCGAACAAATTAGTCAGGATATTTTCAGAAATTGTTCTTGTACAAGTCGAGGAAAATTATCGTGAAAAACGTAGTATAGTGCTACAAAAGTAAGAAATTTAAAAGATTTCAGTTTCAT